GAGGAGGAGGAGCAGGAGGAGTTCAGGGGGGGGGGGGGGTGCCAGATTGCGCCCTGTCTCTGGCCCCCGAGCCCAGGCTCTACGCCGCCCTCGGCGGTGCCACCGCTGGGGCCGAATCGGGCGATGCCGATGCCGGCACGCCCGCGGCCGCGGGGCCAGTCGTGGAGGCCAAGGAGAGTGGGGGGTGGGGGCGGGGGTGAGGCAGGCTGGAGAGGGGTCAGGGGAGATCAAGCGTACCCCAGAACCCAGATCTCCTCCAGCAGTGAAACATTCACGACGGAAGGTTTTTCGCTATTTTCGGTTTCGGAGGGCCCTTACAGGGCCTCTAGTGACCGTCCCAGAACGATTCAGGATGAGAAACTGGTCACAGGGAATGGGTCGAGACCTCCAGGGGTCGACGTTGTGAAAGCATCATGACGTCGGGGGTCTGGGAACAGACGTGCCCTGGAGAGGGGGCCTCAGTGCCACCTCGGGGCGCCCAACCGCTGCGTTTTGGCGCCCACCGTGGCTGGAAACGTGGCCGCTTCGGCACCTCACTGGGGGTACGTCGTCCTGGGGGTACGTTTGGCCCTTCCAAGAGGGACGGGTCTGAGGTGGCCCAGCACCGTTTCCAGCCACCAGGGAGGGCGGGTGAGGTCCTGGGTTCTGGGTTCAGGAAGGTTTCTTGTTTTTCGGCCTCTGTGGGCCGTTTTCGGGCCCCCGGACCGTAATACGCATCGGGAGGGGTCCGGGAACCGATTTTGAGCGGACTGACCTTCATCCCAACCTCTTGAACGACTTGCTGGGGTCTCAACCAGTTCAGACCCTCCGGCCTCCAAGAGGGAAGGAGGAGAGGCAAGCCAGGTGCGCTCGCGCCATATCTCACATCCTTCCCTCCCATCGCATTTCCCTGTTTTTTCGCTATCCGTGGACGCGTGTCACAGCGGAGCTGGAACTCCAAAGAAGACCCCATCGTGTAATCGCAATCGGAAGTAGGGAGTTGCGTACAGTGGAGGAGCCGAAGGTGGCGGGAGAGGATATAGATTAGGAGGGAGGGAGAAAGCAGGGGAGTTCGAGGAGGAGAGATCGTCGTCATCATCATCATCAGCATCAGCATCATCATTATCACCATCATCATTATGATCATCATCAGCATCATCATGCTCATCATCATTGACATCGTCATCGTCATCGTCACCGTCATCATCATGATCATCACCTTTTTCATCATCACCGTCGCCATCATCATCATCATCATCATCATCATCATCAGCATAATCATCACCATCATCATCATCGTCATCATCATCATCATTGGCATCATCATCACCCTCCTCAGCCTCCTCCCCATCATCATCGTGGTTGTCATCATCATCATCATGATCATCACTATCACCATCGTCATCATCCTCACCATCACCATCACCAGCACCATCACCATCACCATCATCACCAACATCATCATTATTATCATTGGCATTATACTCATCATCGTAATCATCATCATCGTCATCTTTCTTGTTATCATCATCATCGTCAACCTCATCGCCACCATCATCAAAATCCTCATTCTTGTCATCATTCTCATCCTCATCCCCATCATCATCTTCTTCTTGACACATTCTCGCCAGGATCATCATCACCATCATCACCACCTTCATCATGACCACCATCACTGTCACCATCATCAGCATCAGTATCAGCATCGTCATCAGCAGCATCAGCAGCATCAGCATCCTCATTACCATCATCACCCCTACCATCACCACCAGTCATCACCAGCATCACCACCACCACCATCAGCAGCAGCATCATCAGCATCAGCATCAGTATCGACATCGGCATCAGCATCAGCATCAGCATGAGCGTCAGCGTCAGCATCAGCATCAGCATCAGCATCCTCACGCCGTCATCTTCATCGTCATCTTCTAATGTAGTCATTGTAATTTTGTACATTCATGCATGTGTGTATGTGTGCATGTGTTTATGTATGCATGTTGCAGTTGTGTTTGCATATATGTATGCATGCCTGTATGTACGTATGTCTGTATGCATGTATGTACGTATGTACGCATGTAGGCAGGTGGACAGGTATATATGTATGCACGTATGTGTGTTGCTATGTTTGTGATCGTTATACATGTGCATGTCTGTGTGTTTATATGTTTGTGTGCACGTATGACTGTATGGATGTGCGTGCGTAAGTAAGTATGTATGTATGTATGTGCATGCATGCATATGCATGCATGTATGTATGTTTGTATGCATGTAATGTATACATGCACGTAGGGGTACATACATATGTACGTGTGTATATACATGCATGCATGCATGGATGTATGCATGTGTGTATGTATGTATGCACGTATGCATGTACGCATGTATGCATGTAGCTATGCATGCATGTATGTATGTACGTAAGTATGCATGCACTCGGACCTGTATATACGCACACACACATACATATATATATATATATACATATATATATATAAGTGTGTGTATGCACGTATGCCTATATTTCGGCATGCATGTCTGCATGTGCGTATGCATGAATGCATGTATATATGCATGCCTTCACGTATGTATGCATGCATGCATGTGTGCATGTATGTGTGCTTATGCATGCATGTATGCGTGCATGAACGTACGTATGTATATGTATATGTATATGTACATGCATGTATATATGTAATGTAATGCATGTATGTAGGTATGTGTGCATATCTGTATGTATGTATATACGTATGTATGTATGTATATATATATATATATATATATATATGCCTGTGTGTGTATGAATGTGTGTATGCATGCATCCATGCATTATGCCTGCATGCATATATGTATGTAGGTATGTAGGTATTTATGTAGGCATACATATGTCTGCATATACGTGGATGTGCATGCATGTAGATATGAATGCATGCGTGCATGCATGCATGTGTGCAGGTATGTATGTATTCATGCATGCATGCATGCATGCATGCATGCATGCATGTATGTATGTATGTATGTATGTGTAGATATATGTACGTATGTCTGTCTGTCTGTCTGTCCGTCTGTCTGTCTGTCTGTCTGTCTGTCTGTCTGTCTGTCTGTCTGTCTGTTTGTATGTTGTGTGTATGTATACAGAGGTGTGCATGCCTGTACATACACATGCACAGAGAGACAGAGAGAGTCTGTGAGAGTGAGAGAGAGAGAGAGAGAGAGAGAGAGAGAGAGTGAGAGAGAGAGAGAGAGAGTGAGAGAGAGAGAGAGAGAGCGAGAGAGAGAGAGAGAGAGAGAAGGAAGTAGAGGGAGCCCCTGCCCCCTGGGAGCCCGCGCCCAGGGCCGAGCGGCACCGCCCAGCGCCCCGCCCGCCGCCGCTGGCGCGGGCTCCACGCGGGCTGGGGGGTCCACGCTGGCGTGGTGCCGCCGCGCGGTGCCGCGCGGGGCTGCGCGGTGCCGTGCGGGGGAGCCGTAGGCCCCGCGCGGAGCCGCTCGACGGCGAAGTCCGAACCCTGCTCTCGCGGATCAGCGTATCAGGCATCAGGGTCCGGATTTCGGCGAGCACGTGGCGGAATGCGAGCCCTACCCCCGCCCCCCGTCGATGCAGGAGAATCGACTGTTGGTGGGGGTAGGGTTCGGAAAGTCGCCACCTAGCCGCGCGGTGTCGAGACCGCGGGCCCCGCGTATCGCCCTTGGGGGTTTGAGCTCCAGCGCGTGGCGGGCGAGGGCAGCGGCTCTGCTGGAGGGCGAGGGGCTGGGACGTGCTGGCTTCGAAGAGTCCCTTGCCCGGCGAAGGCCAGCTGGGGATGGTGCGGCTTGGGTGCGTGGGTGGGTCTGCGCGTGTCGGTCGAATACGGTGTTGAGGAGGTGTGGTGGGGGCGCACCTGTGCGGCTGTCAGGGGCCGCCTCTCCAGAGTGACGGTGGGCGGGCGAGAGCACGCGCGCGGCGCCGGGAAGCTGCGGGCGGCTCGCGTACCCATGCTCTCCCCGCTGCAAAGGCCCCGCCCTCCTCCCCGAAGGGGGCGCGGTGTGTCGAGGGGTCCTGCGGGGACCAAACAGGGAACACGGAGAGTTTGAGCTTCCTCCTCCTCCTCCTCCTCCTCCTCCTCCTTCTCCTCCTCCTCCTCCACAATTACTCAATATGAAAATACTCTCCCTCTTCCCCTGATGGCGGTTGGGTGATCGCCGACCCCCCCCGCGTACTGTTTTTTTACACACAGGATTCCCGGGAAACGGGTTTTCGCTTGCGTTTTTTCCAAAATGCTGCTCTCGCTGAGGCGCCGGCCTCATTTCTGCTCCCGAATCGTTCCGAATCGTGCTCCCGCTGCAGCGTGGGCCTCATTTTCGGATCGGTGTTTGGCCTCCGTCGTTCAGGATGGCGTTCTCGCCCCAGCGCGGGCCTCTTTCTCGCGCGCCCATCCGCCCGCCACCACTGCGCCGCACCACCAACTCACCACCACCACCACCACCACCACCACCACCCACCACCACCACCACCAACCCATCACCGCACACCACCACCAGCACCCCCAGCACCACCAGCACCACCACCACCCACCACCACCACCACCACCACCACCACACCACCACCACCACCACCACCACCACCACGACAACCACGCACACACGCACGCACGCACGCACGCGCACCACCACCCACTACGCACGCGCGCGCGGAGCCACAGGTCCGCTACGACACGCGTCCGCGGATAGAGAAAATCAGCGCCATGGTAAGGGATGGGAGGGAGGGGTAGGACGTCAGATATGACGCGAGCGCACCTAGCTTGTCCTCCCCCCTCCTCTCCCTCCTGCCCGTTCTCCTCCTCCTCCTCCTTCCCCTCCTCCCTCTCCTCCCATCCTCTTGCTCCTCCTCTTCCGCCTTCTCCCATCGCATCTTCCATCCTTCTTCCTTGCCGCACCTCTAGATATGTCCGCAGGCTAGTCAGAGGGTCCCTCTCGCCTCGTTGCAACATGTCAGCTCGAAGCTCACAACCTCCAACAGTTACATGGAAGGAAGGTCGGTCGTTCTCGAAATGCGGCTCTCGCCTCGGCGCCGCGCCCACGCGTCTAAAATGTTGCCAGCCGTTACACGGTTAGAGCGCTGGTGGCTTTCAACATGAGGATCTCGCCGCAGCGCCGCGCACATTCGTTTCAAAAGCTTCAACCGTTGCATGCATGGAGGCCAGCAGGCTTTCAAGCTTGTGTACTTGCCAGATACTTCCCAAACATGTTCTACAATCCGTGTAAGCATGTGCGACACTTACATAGATGAATGGCGTTTCCTTCTTGAAATGCGGCTCTCGCCGGGGGCTTCGTCGTATTCTGATGGCCAGAAGGGTAAGGGTTGTGCAACAGCTGCGCGGGTGCAGGGAGGTTCCTTTCTCTTCAGAGCGAGGTTACGCCTGGGCACTTCTTTAGGGAAACAAGCAGTGACATAACATAGAAAGCTCGGAGGTCCGCGCGGATCTCTTGGATCGGCGTTGGACCATCCCGCCTTGGCGCGCGGAGCGCGCCAGGGGCGGCGCCAGAGGCGCCGCCAGGGGTCTCCAGCGCCGATCCGAGAAATCCGCGCGGACCTCCGAGCATTTCATGTTTATATGCAGTGCGGGCGCGGTCGCAAGAAACCCTTGCAAGGAACCGAACCCTGAAAACCTGCGCGCGAGGTGCACCTGAGGGAAAACACGGAGCACCCTGAACGCAGCAGCTTCTTTGATGGCCGCGGGAAGTCACCGCGCAGCGCGCGGAGCGAAGAAACCCAGGGCACCCTGACGAAAAGCAGATGGTTTCTTTATGCGCGCCCCCACTGTATGTCATTGATCGTTCCCCGATTCTTTGAACTCCCAAGCCCACCTCGTCGCTCCCTGTCTGGCTCGAAGGCTTGGTGGCGGCTGCCCTCAACACACGGAGCTCCTGCCTGCATTTTGCGGGCCCATGGGGCGTTCGTCTTCCGAGGCGGCGCTTCCTGCGGTGAAGATGACTGCCTACATCCCCAGGACGAAAGGCTTTTCCTTTTGGTCCCGGAACGACAGAACAGCATGGATATATCTCTCTCCTCCGGGTTGCTGCGCGCAGCTCGTCCAGGCGCAGTCCGTTCGGCGGCGTTGATGTTGTCATGTGAACTCCTCATCGCCATCTTCACCCCTTGAGGACAATATTTCGTCCTGCGTAATTATATGACATGCTGAGGAGGGGACTTGGGGCGTGAGAGTGTATTGCAACATCGCTGATGCGTCTTGGGTCTTGACTGGTCCTCCTCCCTCTCCTCCTTGTCCTCCCTTCGCCTCCTCCTCCTCCTCCCTTCTCCTCCTCCTCCTCCTCCTTCTCCTCCTCCTCCTCCTCCAATGAGTCCGAAGCGGCCGCACTTGGGCCGAAGCTGCAGGAGAGAACCCCAAACAATAATCTGGATGAAGATTGAAGCGGTCTGATACCCAGGGGGGGCCCTGTCGCTGGCCCCTGGCAGGTCTTCGGCCTTCCTGCCAGGGTGACAAGGTACTCTTCGATGGGCCCCCCCTTGGGTGCTTTTGTGGACCGTTGGACTTCTTTCCCCCCCCTCCTTTCCCCTCAGTGGCGTGCGATCCTCCTCCTCCTCCTCCTCGTCCTCCTCCTCCTCCTCCTCCTCCTCCTCATCCCTCCTCCCCACTGCGCGCCCCACTCCGTTCTCACCCGGGGCCGCCCAACGCCCATCGCCTCGGGTCGCCCTCTGAGCCGCAGCGTACCCCCAGTGGCGAGAAGAGCGCCGCAGGGCCCCTCGGCGGCAGAAGAGCGATCATGGGGACTCGCTCCCCAGACGCTCCAACTTCCTCCTCCCTCTTGAGTTGAGTCGGGCCTGTCCCTCTACAGGAGGAATATTCAAAAATAGTCGAAACATATAGTCTGGGGATGATTTTTTGAGCATTTTAAAGCCATTTTGGAGTTTTTTTCGACTATTCTACATTTTTCGTCCAAGATCCCCCTGTAGGAAGACAGGCCCGACTTCCCTCTTGAGGGGGGGCATGGGTTGTGGAAGACGATCAATGGGGAGGGGGCGAGTTGCCAAGTAGTTTCCAGATGTTTTAGATATTCGCAAACACGTCCAGCACATGCCGATACAGGTTAAGCACATCTTCAACACATGTGAAACCATGTTCTGAACATTTGAAAAGCATGTCTAATTCAATGATAGGACTGTTAGCGTGTCCATTGTCGTGGCATCCGCAAGCCAGGGGGGGACGAGCAGCCCTGCCGGCAAGGGGGGCAGGCTCGTGTCTGGCTACAGCGCGCGGCATCGGTGGGGAGATACCGGGCCGCCTGATGGAGGACCGGCCCCGCCAGGGTGGGGGGGGCGGGTCGCGCCGTCTGGGGCTGAGAGGGGAGGAGGAAGAACTGGGAAGGAGGGGAGGGAGGGATGGAGGGAGGGGAGGAGGAGGGGAGGGAGGGGAGGGAGGGAGGGAGGGAAAGGAGGAGGGGAGGGAGGAGAGGGAGGCCTGGGGTGCAATAGCGTGGGCGGTGGAGCGCAACCTGAACGCCCAGGGGCCCCTCCCATTCAGGGAGGGTGGGGAGCCGGCGGGCTGTCCCTGGGCCGAGACGCGAGGGAGAAATGGGAGGTGGGAGAAAAGAAAAAGTGGAGAAGGGAGAAGGGGGAGGAGGGAGGGAGGAGGGAGGGAGGAGGGAGGGAGGGAGGGAGGGAGGAATAGGAGGAGGAGGAGGAGGAGGAGGAGGAGGAGGAGGAGGAGAGGAGGAGGAGGAAAAGAGGAGGAGGAGGAGGAGGAGGAGGAGGAGCAGGAGGAGGAGGAGGAGGAGGAGGAGCGGAGGAGGAGGAGGAGGAGGAGGAGGAGAGGAGGAGGAGGAGGAGGAGGAGGAGGAGGAGGAGGAGGAGGAGGAGGAGGAGGAGGAGGAGGAGGATCCTCCTCGTCCTTCCCCTGCTGGTGGTGCTCTTCCATTCTCCTCCCTCTTCCCTCAGCGTCCTATGGTTTCACAGGAGATGGTGCGCGAGCAGCAGGCTGCCGCGTCCCTGGTGTTGTCTCCGGTACGAGGCGCCAGTGCTGATAATGGTCGGGAGGCTTTGGATACAGGAGCCTCGCATCACTCTGAAGCAAACGTTGCAACATGTTGTCGCTTGGCGGTGCAAAGTGGTGTCGACGACTCATGTTCGGCAGGGGTATTGCGGGCGTCGACGGGGATTCCGCCAGCGTGCCACAAAGCACGCATTCGGGATGCTGCGTGGGAAGCCGGGGGAGTTCATGTCTTATGTCTTTGGAGGGTAGGAAGGTATGCGGCAGAAGAGCAGGGGAATGCGGGGGATACAGGGGAAGGAGGAGAGAGGATGGGGCAAACGATGGGGATGAGGGACTGCAGGGTGATTATGAGGCCCTTCAGGCATCTTGCCTTCTCTCTATCTCCGCCTGTCTGTGAGTCTGTCTGCCTGCCTGTCTGTCAGTCTGCCTGTTTGTCTGTGTGTCTGTCTGTCTGTGTCTGTCTGTCAGTCTCTCTTTCTTCCTCTCCCTCTCTCACACGCACTCTCTGGCTCTCTCACCCTCGCTTTCTCTCACTCTCTCTCACTCTCTCTCTCTCTCTCTTTCTCTCTCTGTCTCTCTCCCCCACACACGCATACGCGCTCTCTCTTTCTCACTCTCTCTCTCTCTCTCACTCTCTCTCTCTCTCTCGCTCTCTCTGGCCCCGCGCCCCGGCGGAGGCGGAGACGACGTCGAGGGCCAGAAGAGCCAGCGCTGGGGGTGGCGCTGGTGAGGCCTGCTGGCGGGGCGAGAGGGTAGACGTAAGTCGGGCCTGTCCCTCTACAGGGGGAATATTCAAAAATAGTTAAAAGTAGTATGAGGATCATTTTTTTATTATTTTTGAATATTTGGGGGGCATTTTTGGATTTTATGTTTTTCGCCCAGAATCCCCCTGTAGGGGGACACGCCCGACTTAAGGGTAGACAGAGGGATGCTAATGGGGAGGAGGACGAGGAGAAGGGGGATAGTGATGATGATGATGGTGGTGATGATGATGAAGATGATGATGGTGATGCCGAAGATGATGATGATGACGAGTATGATTCTGATACGGATGCTGATGTTGATGATGCTGAGGATGATGATGCTGCTGTTGATGAGGATGATCATCATGATGGTGCTGATTGTGGTGGTGGTGATTGTGGTGGTGGTGATGATGATGATTATGATTCTTCTTGTGGTGGTCATGATGATGTTGTTGATGATGATGATGCTGATGCTGATGCTGATGCTGATGCTGATGCTGATGATGATGATGATGATGATGATGATGATGATGATGATGATGAGGATGAGGATGAGGATGAGGATGAGGATGATGATGAGAAAGAAGAGGAGGATGAGGAGGATGAGGAGGCGGAGGAGGAGGAGGCGGAGGAGGAGGAGGAGGACCAGAGCAATCCCAACATGCACCAGCGATGCTACAACACACCCTCCCGTTCTAAGTCCTCTCCTGAGAAGTCCCTACAAGCTGTCCTTTTTCACAACCTGAATTGCCCCCCTGAAGGACCATCGCCTTATGGGGCTGCCACCAATTCGGACCATCGCTGAAGGTTTCGGATCATCAGTTCTGTTTATTTTTATTCGAGGGCGAAACTTTGAACACGACCCGCACCCTCCTCCATACGTGTGGCCGTTAGAGACTCTGAGTTCCATTCCCCAAACAGTGCCTGCACTTGTGGGGTTCGTACTTCGCTCTCTGAGCAATCGGGTGGGGTTCCCGAGGTTTCGCCCCGTTGGTCTCTCGTGCCCGCTCGTGGGCGCCACGCTGACGCCCGTGCCTATACTCGTGGGGCCGCCTCGTGGGTGCCCCGTGCGCTGGGTGGTTTTCCCGAGGCTCTGCCACGCTGGCGCCCTGGCTCGTGTGCGCCTCGCGGGCGGCGCATAGCTTGGCACCGCACGGGTCACACATCGCATATCTCACACCGCATGGCTTGCCCAGCATTGCTGACCTTCACACACGACGTAGCTTACAGGCCACGTAGCTTTTTTGCCTGAGGTTGCAGTTCGTAGCTTGCACCGCATGGCTCTCACCGCGTAGCTCGCAGCACACGTCTTGCGCAGCACAGCTTGCACCACATAGCTTGCACCGCAGCGATGACACAACACAGGTCACACCACATAGCCTACATACGCAAGATCGCCTACACCATATAGCTTCCACCGCATAGCGTTTCCCACACAGCCCACGCCACATAGCCGACGTAACATAGCTTACACCATGTAGCTTAGAAGTGGGCCGCTCTGGCTCTAGGGGGACCGTTCCAGCAATAAAAGCGGGTGGATCGAGCGCTGCCTATGGACTGCACCCAGCATGGCGCAATTCGGCCACGGCGCCAACAGAAGGACCACTTCCGGCTCAGGATGTCCCGGGCTGCTCCTCTGCCCTGGGTCGGGGAACCCGCTCGTGGCCGAGGCCCGCCGTGGCCGTAAGGGCCCCCCTCCGTTCCCTGTCCACCGTGGCCCTGTGGCAGCACGGCGGCTCTGCGGTGCAGGCTGGCCCGGGATGGCGTCCACTCCGGGAGGCCCCCCCGGGGCGGCGGCGAGGTGGGCCGAGGCGCCCGCGGAGCCTCCCGACGGCCTCCCCGAGGCCCTGGCCCCAGCAGCTCGCGCTGGCCGGGCGAGGCCCGGTTTTGGGCCGGGGCTCACGAGGCGGGGTGTCAAGGCAAACGGGGGTCCGCCGGAGCGCCGGATCTTGCAGGATCCTGCAGGGCCAGGGTCGCATTGACCCGGATCTGGGTGCAGGATCCTGTTGGATCTTGCAGGATCTTTCGCATTGACCCAGCCGGGTTTGGGTGGCGCAGGATCTCGCAGGATTCTGCAAGGCTTGGCTGACCCGGGTCTGGACTGACCCGGGTCAGGAGATCCCCGATTTGGACGCCCGATACGGGTACGGAGAAAGGGTGCGATGCCCAACCGCAAATGTTGTCCAAAACCAGCAGCGTCCGCTGTTGGGCAGGCTGCCTTCTGTCTCTAATGGGCGGCCCGCGGCGGCGTCGACAGCACATCTGGTTCAGCATGGACAGGAAATGGTATCAGTCTTGGTCCCTAGCCTTTCCGTGCCCCTGTCGATCGTACCGTGCCGATTGTTGCCACCCCCCGCTCCGTTTACCACTGGGAACTTTTGCTTAGCATGGTCGCGCCGCTGGTTCTGGCCTGCCGCGCTTCGGCGCGGCACGCCATCCACGCCCCCATCTCCCAGGCGTCAGCGTCCCGTGCTTCCCCTGCCCCTCCGCCCCTCCGAACGGGGCGGCACGCTGTCAGCTCGCAGGGCATAGTGTTTCGCTGGTGCCGCCACCGCGACACGCCAAGTGAACCTTCCCGCCCGGACATCGGCCCGGATGTGGTCAGCTGCGGGGCATGCGCCTCCTCGCTTCTTCTGCGCCCGGCGGGATGGGCCCGATCGCTCACCACCCACCAAACCACCGCAACCCAACCCGAAGGCCTCAATTTGCCCTCCATTTCCAGTGGGGGGGGGGGTCGGGGAACATGGAAAAAACACATGGAACCCGTACCCCCCCAACCCGAAATTCGGGCGAACTTCGGGTCTTCGGCTTGGGTTGGGGTGGCTTGGTGGGTAGTCAGATCGCCGCGATCGGCCATGAGGCCGATCCCGCGGAGCGATGAGGCAGCGTGCGTGCTCGGCGAGCTGCCCTGGCTGGGCTGCCCACCCTGCCCGCCGTGCCTCCCGGCCTCCTGCGGCAGGCGCGCCGCGCCGCCCCGCCGATGCCCTGAGGGGCCCTGCCCGGCTCGTGCGCGCCCTCCGCGCACGACCTTTTGGCCCGCCGAATTCGGGGCCGCAGCTCCTGGGAGGATTAGGGGAACAAAAAGTGGCATAAGCATAAAAGCTCGGAAGTCCGCGCGGATTTCTCGGATCGGCGCTGGACCCCCCTCCCTGGCGCGCGGAGCGCGCCAGGGGCGGCGCCGGAGGCGCCGCCGGGGGGCCCCATCGCCGATCCGAGAAATCCGCGCGGACCTCCGAGTTTTTATGTTTATGCCACTTTTTGTTCCCCTGAGTATGTCGATCGAGGATCTTAGCCAGCGTGGACCCCAATTCTTAGAATGGGATGTGAAAGCTACGTGGTGTAAGCTGCATGGGGAAAGGTATGTGGTGCGAGCTGGTGAGAGGTGAAGGCTAGGCGGTGTAAGCTGCCTGTCGGAGGCTATGTTGTGCAAGCAATCTGGTGTGACATTGAGGAGAAAGCTATGGTGTGTAAGGTATGCGACGTAAGCCGTGTTGCGTAAACGATGCGGTCTAATCTATCTGTTGTAAGCTATGCGGTGTAAGCTATGTGGCGACAGCTATGTCGCGTAAGCTCAGAGCACGGGGCGCCCACGAGGGGGCACGGGGCGGCGACGTGGCGCCACCTCGGCATACCCCCCAAGGGCGGGGCGCCCACGAGGCGCCCACGAGGCGGCACTGGCGGCAACGTGGCGCAACCTCGGCATACCGCCGAAGCGCGGGGCGCCCACGAGGCGCCCACGCGGCGGCAACGTGGCTAAACCTTGGCAAGCCCCGCCCCCCCCAGCGCACGGGGGCGACCACGAGGCGGCAATGTGGCTCAACCTCGGCGTACGCCCCAAGCGCGGGGCGCCCGCTAGGCGCCCACGAGGCGGCACGAGCGGCAACGTGGCGCAACCTCGGCATACCCCCGAAGCGCGGGGCGCCCACAACACACCATGAGGCGGCGCGGACCGCAACGTGGCGAACATCGGGAATACCACCAATCAACTTAACGAAGCGAGATAAGAACCCCTCAGTGCAAGCACTATTTTGGCAGACTGTAGCTACAGCCATGGAGCGTAATGGCCAGTTCCGTTGCCAGATTCTATGAACACGACGCCAGCGGTACAGTGTCAACCTGGTTGCCGTTGGGGGGAGGCCCTTGGGCGGCCTCGGGTGGCCCAGAGACTCTGCCCCCCCCCAGGCACTCGGAGAAGGCACCAGCCACACACCGCCACCATCCCTGGCCAGGGACGGTGGTGGTGGTGGTGGTGGTGGTGGTGGTGGTGGTGGTGGTGGTGGTGGTGGTGGTGGTGGTGGTGGTGGTGTGTGCGCAGCTGCCGCTCTCGAGTGACCTGGGCCCCTACCTCTCCCTCCTCGCCCGCCCCTGCTCCCCCCTGGCCCCCGTCGCCCTCCTCCCCCCTCCCCCCGCCCTGTCGAAGTGCGAGCATCTCCCCCCTGTGGGCCACCCCACCTCCACACGGCCTCTGGGCAGCCTGGGCCTCCGCAGGCGCTTCTGCTCGCGGCGGCCCGGGAGGCCACGAGGGCCCCTCCCAGCTGCAGGGCCCCGACGGGCGCCCCGGACCGGTGGCTCGGGTTGTCCGCCTGGGCGAGGCGAGGCGAGGCCTGCGGTCAGAAGCTCGCACCCTCCCCCCCGATGTCCTGCTTAGCGACCCACCTCTGCAAGGCTCGCTTCGATTCCTCCGATTCGATTCGATTCGATTTCGATGGCTTCCGATTCTGATTCGATTCGACCTCCGATTCCGATGTGGACTCCGATTCCTCAATGGAGGCATACCAGCCTGCCGATGTCCGCCGATTCGACTTTTCCCGACTCGGCCGCCGATTTCCGACTTGTCGATTCGATTCCGCGCTCTCCTACCTTTGGTCATGGCAGGTCGCTGTAGGGCATACCTCGGCCACGAGCGGGGTCGGACCAGCCAGGTGGGGTAATCACTCGTCAGAAGTGAGATATTCAACCCATCCTGATTGCGAGAGGTGGCCCTCCA